AAAAAGAAAAATATATATATTAAAAAAAAAATAAACAACAACAAAAAAAGGGGGGGAAGACCCTCAAGATGGATCAAGAGTGGCTGCAAGGATGGGCTCATGCATAGCAACCACTGTGAGGATGGGCAGGACTGGGCGATGTTTCGTTTTGTTGTATATGGTATCACTATACGAGTCGATGACACCTAACATTGCCCAATCTTTTTTTATTACCATTACAAGTGTATCTAATTTTTGTGATCTGCTAATGGAGTACTGTGTGTGTTGGAGGGGAAGATGACCCAGGAAAATGTTACGTTGAGGAAGCGAGCTTAGGTGTGCCAACAGAAAGGGAAAATAGATGTATCAGGAAGTCCAGTGATTAGCATAGAGTAAGACTGAGGATGGGATACAGAAACAATATGAAAGTATCTTAAAAGTTCATACTGATGTTTATATGCTAAGAATACAAAACACCAGTATCTATTTCAGACCCTTCATGCACTGATGAAGACGGTGCCTTCTCTTTTTTATCTTCTTCTCAGTGTAATAGCTGGTGAAATATCAATCATTACCTTTTTGGTTTTGTTTTCATGGAAAAAGCAATACAAGTGTTCTCAATACAAGTGTTTTTCTTCTTAATGCTTTTCTGTATTCATTTTTTTTTTTTCACAATGATATTTCACCTTTATAAGAAAAGTAAAGCTAAAAGAAACAACGTATTTTTAAAGCTCAGGGTTGAAATGAGAAGGAACTGAGAATGAAGTTCCTCGTGTTTGCTGTTCCCTCCCCACACTAAGTCTTTAAGCAAACACAACTTTTGTAACTCTCAGAGAAGAGTCAGGTTAAAACAACACAATACACCCTACCTATTTCCTTTACTCAGCACCATTTAATATAAGTATTAAAGGACAGTTTTTTCTTTTTTTAAAAACTCAAGATAGAAAATATCAGTCTGTTAAGAGCAATACATTTAATACAATCACAAGACTTCAACTAAAAACATTCATTACTCATGCTTTAGGTTTTCAATTTTTCTTGGACAACACACAAATGCAAAAAAACCTCCACATTATTTAAACCACATGTCTTAACAAGAGGAACATGAAATCTCATTTTGATACAAAAACAGGTTTTAAAAAAATAGTAAAATCAAGGTTGACTTAATCCATCACGAGCATTTTTCCTTAAATTCCCCACCCTACCCCACTCTGGAACTCATACAGCTGCCTTCTATCCCAGCACACGAAACTCTCTACCTCCACATTTTTTTCCCTACCTAACATTTCAACGAAGAAATCAAGATACTTAGAGGTGTGTCATGGAATGAGAACTACTACAGCATGCTTTTTTTTTTTTTTTTTTTTAAAAAAAAAAAAAAGACAACTTATTTGTTGAGTGTTGAAAGGGAGGGAATAATATTCCAAGAAATTTAAAGTGTAGTGGGTAAAGTGTGGGAGTTTGTTTCATTCACCTTATTCTGATTTCAGAACACAGGAATTATGCCTAAAGGTTAGCATAAGGAACTAAAGAGATGCCAAGAAATATTCCAAACATCAATTATAAAAGGAAGACCATATTAATGCTTATGTAGTTTATAGTAATGTGGAAAAATATTTACATTACAAAGTTAAATGAAAAAGTAGAATAGAAAACTGTATATACAGTGTAATTTTAACTATGTGAAAACAAACCAAAATGTGCCTTAAAAAAGGCTGAAACAGTTCAAAATGTTAATAGTGGTTCCATTTAAGTTGTATGTCTATAGTGATCATTTTTCTTCCTTTTACTATGCTGTTTTCCAATTATTTAATTAACTTGTTGTTGTTAATTGCCGTCGAGTCAGCCCCGACTCATAGCGACCCCTCCTTGGGTTTCCGAGGCAGTAGCACTACAGAAGTAGGATTGCCCAACCTTCATTTAATTAACTATCAGTTATAAAATATGAAATTTGATGGAAGTATTAAATTTGAGTTAAGAATTTAAGTCCAGCCTGTGAGAAAGGATTTGTCCATTTATTTATAAAACTATACAACATTCCAGGCTACTCCATGAGTCCACTGTGTGTTAGGAGTAACCTGTTGGAGATTTCAGCCCTTCCTCCAACTAGGTGAAAAGTATCACCAGATCCTGCCTGGTGAAATATTCTGGAATCAAATGGAAACGTCACAAACTTACAAAAAGGAACAGAGATACTCACACTTGGCAAAAACTTATTTACAAAACAGTAGCTCCTTAATACTGAAATTAAACATTAGGACTGCTATTTTCTGTGCAGCTGTCAAATTACACTATTATCAGAGAATGCCAATCCTGGATTAGAAACAGAAATAACACAGTGTTGCAACAGTATTGGACATAGAAAAGTGCAACATTTAAAAAATGATAAAAAGTGCTTTCTATAAAAATGATTCCCTTTAAAACATACACTGAGGCCAAATAAAGAAAAAGAAAAAACCTCCAACACTTCAACACTTTCTACCAAAGCAGCACCCATGAATGAACAAACAATGACTGAAGGCTCATAATGTGCCACGCACTGGAGTCTGAGACAGAAGAAAGACTTGTCCCTGCCTCAAGGACATCTCAGTCTCCCCAAAGTGGGTAGGTAGACAAACACACAGCCAACCACAGTATAGCAATTAAAAGCAGATGTCATTGCTTTCTTACAATTAAAGGATATACTGCAATTCTCAATGAATGACTTACACAGAAACGTTCCTGACTTACTAGGATGCAAAAATGCAACTACTTTTTCCTGATAAATACTTCCAGAAAAGCAAGCATTACATTAAATTTTGTGTTATTTACCCATAAACCCAACAATGCCTAGAGAAGTCAGTTAACTTTCTTTTAAGCAATGGAGCACATTTCTACCCCAAGAATGAGATATCTTGAAATTGAAAATAGTGTCCAGTCCTATATCTGGGTCAAGACTAGTCAGTACCATCAAAAGCAGAGGCTTAGGCGTGCAAATTTCCATTAACATCTTTAGTCGCCTCTTCCATCCGTTGATTTTCAATATGCTCCTGTGTCAGCCGCTCCAGGTCTTTCCTCACGTTTGGGTGGTCTTCCAGATCTTCATAGAGTGATCTGACAATGTCCAATCTCCTGTAATTCTCAGGTTTGACTAGGCTTCGAACAACCTGGAGGCACCGCTCTTTCAGGGTATACACTGTAAAGGAAGAAAACAAAACTCTGAGCAGTAGACTCACGCCCTGGGACAAGGGTACCAACCACAGCAGTTATATTTACTATAGATGGATCTCACTTGGGCAAAAAAAGCGGGAGCATGTGTTAAAACAGCATATAATGTTGATGACCCCCAATGGATGTCTCATGGTATTTGATCCCTTATATAATAACTTTTGGGAGCCGTGGTAGCGTAGTGCCTAAGGCATTTGACTGCTAACCAGAAGGCTGGGGATTCAAACCCACCAGCCACTCCCCCCGGAAGGAAGGCTGGGCAATCTACTTCCATAGTGATACAGCCTCAGAAACCCGAGAAGGGATCGCTATGGGTCACATCTGACTCCATGGCAATGGTTGCAAATGGTTATACTAACTTTTATGTGAAACTGTGATGGGCCTGTGATTTGCTTTAACTGAATGTGGATAAACGGACAATGTGGCAATTTTAGGCCTAAACCTCAAGAAGATCTGGCAGCTTATATTGTTATATTCTTTAAGAGCTCTGAGCTACTCTGCTGGAGACTACACAAAGTGGAAAGGCCCTGAGGTAACACAGAGAGAGAGACCCAGCCCCCAGACAACCTGCCAAGAGAAAGCAACCACACCAATGACCACCAATAAGCAGAACAGCCATGGAGCTGAGCTCAGCCCAGCCTGAAGAATTATGAACAAATAAAATGGTTGTTGTTAGTTCTGGGGTGATTGTTAACAGAGCAATCAATACATAGCCAAAACAGTATGTAATTGAACTTTGAGTAACTCAAATCCTATTTTAAGGGTACTGGGGAACTTAGTACTCTATAAGGGTATCCCGTAAGGCACAATTTACCAAATGTAACTTATCAACACTAATTTTTGTATACTCATTTTCTTAAAACAGTACCTATATATGCATATATAAATTAGTTTGAACCCTATGAAGCTACAGGTGGGTTTTGTTTTTTTAACTCACCAGAACATGAGTTTCATAGGGTTCACCCTAATAAAATCATTTGCATTATAAGCTGACAAGGGACAAGGTTATGGTGACCTCTTGGCCACAGCCAGCTACCCAGAGGGAGCAAATACTTGGACCTGTGGGCTCAGAACGATGGTCACAAGAGACATCAAGCTCAACTGGCATAACATACGACACAAAAACAGTGTTCCACATCCTACTTTGGTGAGTAGCGACTTGAGTCTTAAAAGCTTGCAAGCTGCCATCTAGATGCAACCATGGTCTCTCCTCATCCAGAGCAAAAAAGAATGAAGAAAACCAGAGACTCATGGAAACAATTAGTCCAAGGGACTGGTACACCATGCAATTCTCAGTCTATATGACCATGACACCAGAAGTACTAGATGGTGCCTGGCTACCACTGCCAACCCTTGGAGAGGGATCTGTGTAGGAGATCCTTGATAGAATGGGAGAACAAAATGATAATTTAAAAAAAAAAAGGCCCAGTTTGCTTATCTGATAGAGCCTGGTGAGACCCCTGAGACCATGGCCCTTAGCTGCCCTTCAGGTCTGGAACTGAACTCACTCCTGTGGCTTCTAGCCAAATAAATGACCAGCATATGGGCTGAATATTTACATCAGGTAGATACACTCCTTGGAAAAATCAATCATGGGAGAACAGAAGGGCAGTGTATGCACAGGGAGACCACTGGGGGCAGGGGGGGGCGGCAGGAGTACATGGGAGGAAAGGACACAGAGAAGAGATAACTATGGGGAGAAGTGGGAAGAGAGCTGTTACACTATGAGAAATTGTAGTCGGCATCATGAGACAAAATGTGTATCAACTGCTATACGGAAAATGAATGGGTTAAACAATGATAAACGGAAATTTAGCTTAAACAACATTAAAATCATATAATAAGCCGTGACATCTCATTCTCTATAGCTTGCTCTTCTCATGGGATTGTTTGGGTACAATTTTGCTCTAGGGCCAAGGAAACATTCTACAATCAGACATTTTAATTTACCCACCTGTGAAAAGCCCAGCGCTCTTGAGACACTACATCTTTGTTCAAAACAAAACATATAAATAACATTATTTTCTATTGTAGATATGGATACATGCCTAGAATATGGCAAAATCAGTAAGGATTTGGCTTCTTCAAGTGGCCTATCCTCTACTTATTACAACAACCAATCTTATGTTTGTTAAAAGATTGAACATCAGTACCTGGTAATGTGATGGTGGCTAAAATAGGCTTTCCATCAACATTGAGGGATGGCACAAATAATTCAGTTTGGTTAACCAGAAGCCCATCGTATGTCCCTGCATCTCTGAAGAGCCACAGGTGACCTGTTAAGACAAGCAGACACTGTTAAGTGGCCACATCGGTCTGAGTTAGGGTATCTATTTCCCTTGACCTACATGAAATGCTTCACTCTCACTCTACTTAAATTTATACAAAACACTTCCATTATCTCAGTCAAGCTTCACAGGAGATCCATGTACAGATGAGGAAACAGATCTGAAAAAGCTCAAGGCAACAGAGACATTAAGCAGAAGAGTATATATTTGAGGCTCCAAATCCAAACCCATTCTGCTACCTTGGTAGAAAAGCAAAGCCCACCTGAAGTACATAATGACAAATCACACCAAACAATGCAAACTACAAGACAGAAGGCCACTGACTCCTCAAAATCCGTGTGTCTCACAAATGAGGAGGTGCATAAGGTGAAGGCAATTAATGTCATGAACTATACACATTCAAAAAAAAGTTGAAATGGCAAATCGTTTGTTATATGTATTCTTACTCCCCTAAAAATAATTATTTTTTTAAAAATGAGGTGCAAAAACATCATGTTGAGAGAAAGAAGCCAGATAGAAAAGTGTACATTCTATAAAAACAAGCAAAACTAATCTATAGCATGAAAAATCAGAAAGTGGTAGCTTCTGGGAGGAAGATTACTGAGTGGAAAGTGGTAGGAGAGAATTTTCTGGGGTGATGGAAATATTATAATCTAACTTGATCTAGGTGTTGCTACCTTTGTCAAAACTCATCGAACCCTAAGATCTGTGCACTTTACTGTATGCAAAGTATACCTGCATTTATAAAACAAATCCATCACAAGGGGAAAAGAGGGGAGGCAAACCTGTTTAAGGAAGTGGACGTTGTCTCAGAATAAATATAGTCCATGTTATTGAAACATAAACTTGAAGATATGGTGGGGAAACTTAAGAAATATTTTATATTAAATCAGGCACAGATAAAATCTGGAGAATACAAAATTCACACAATTTCCTAGATAAAATAGGAACCAATGACCTTCTGGTTATGCAGTGTAGTAAATAACAGTATGGCTTTTCTAGCCATAAGTCTTTGAAAACTCCATGGCAGAATTTGCCATGAGCAACTGAGTGGCTCCAAGTTATCCACCTGGGTTACTTCTGTTGAGAGTGGCAGGAAGCAATCTACTGAGAAGTTGTCTCTCTCAGGTGTATAGAATTCTGATGTTGGAATTGGTTGTTCTGGCCACTCTGCCAGGCTCTAAAGAAGCCCTCTTAGAGACAGGAGTCTCTCCAACTGCTGGCTGAGAAAGACATGCTGCTGAGAGAAACGCGCTGAGAGACTGCACTTGCTGAGAGGGAGACGTGAGAGACACACACTGCTGACAGAGAGACTACTGCTGGCTAAAATTTTATCTAGGCTAAAATTTAGCCTTATCTAGGAGCTCTGGTACATAGTACCTAATGCACTTGATTGCTAACCAGAACGTTGGCGGTTCAAACCCACCAGCCACTCCTTGGAAGGAAGGTTGGGCAATCTACTTCTGTAGCGATACTGCCTCAGCAACTCAAGAAGGGGTCACTATGAGTCGGGTCTGACTCGATGGCACATAACAACAACAAGGCCAAGTTAATCGGCTGGCTGCTAAGTTAGTCAGCTGGCTGCGGGAGACTGAGTGCACTTCTGAACTTGAACTGTAGCCTGCTGCTTCCTTAATAAACCCCATTATCTGTGAGTTGTGTGTGGCTACCACAGCAAATTATCGAACCCAGCAGAGAGGTGGTGGGTGCTGCAGAAGGAACCGCTGGTGTCAGGGTTGGTGAAAGGCCTAGAGGAAGGCAGGATGCCTGGCCTTGCAGGAATAGGCCTTGGGCTATTAATGGTGATTCTGTTTTCCTCTTGTGGAGTTACAGGAGGTCAGAAGATGTGGCCTCACTGCGCCTTTGGCAGGTTGGTAGCCAAATTTCTTACCCACTATGACACCAGAGCTCCTTAGATAAAATAGGAAACCAAGGAAATGTCGATCCCTGGAAGAACATGTTCTTCCTCATCAGTATTAGGGGAAGTTTGATGTAAAAGCTTGAGAAGCATTAACATCATCATCAATGAAAAAGAGATCCATTAGAATCTTCAAAGATGACTGTGAAAATTAAGCAAGATAGGACTATTTCAAAGGAGATGCAGTGGTTAGTGGGTAAGGCATTTATTTGGTTGCTAACTAGAAGGTTAGTGGTTTAAATCCACCAGCTGCTCCATGGGAGGAAGATGAGACAATTCACTTCTATAAAGCTGTACAGTCTTAGGAACCCAACGGGGATAGCTAAAAGTTGGAATCAACTCGATGGCAGTGGGCTTGTGTTTTTTTTAAAGACTGTTTCAAGGCAGATCCTGGCTGGCAAAAATGGTTAATGAGTGCTGGACTACTCACTGAAAATTTGGTGGTTCAAACCCACCCAGGCACCTCAGAAGGCAGGCCTGGAGATGTGCTTCTGACAGCAACTAACAACAGGACTACTTCAGGAGGCTGGTTGGCACAAACAGGGCTTGGATGCTAACCAAGAAGTTTGTGGTTCGAACCCACCCAGCCATGCCATGGAAAACAGGCCTGGCAATCTGCTTCCATAAAGATTACAGCCAAGAAAACCATAGGGAGCAGTTCTCCCCTGTAACATGTGGAGTCATGAGTTGATTCTAGGGCAATAGCTTTGGTAACATCTCTTTGCCACTAATGCGTCCACTTTAGGCAGACCTAGTTGTCCCTCACCTGGGTTATCACAACTTCCTAACTGGCTACTCACCAGTAGTCTTCCGTTCTCCAAAACACTGCAATCTAGGTGAGCTTTTCAGAATGTAAATCTGACAATGTCATTTCCCTGCTTAAAAACTTTCAATGGCTTTGCTTTCCCTTGGGGTTATTACCTTTGGAGTTTCTACCACTTTCCATATGCTTTCCAAGGCTCTAGGGCTTTGTTCATGCTGCTCCCTCTGCCTAGAACTCTCAACTACATGGGCTGGCTAGTTCCTGCTCACCCTGTAGATCCCAGCTTCTCAGGAAAGGTCACTTTACTGTAACTGTACAGCCCACATGCTCCAAACTCTCAGAATCTATCGCAGCAATTACAACACTGACTTGTTCTTATCTGTTTAGGTGTAAGTCTTATCTCTCCCACTGGAGTGCGTTCTCCATGAAGACAGAGACCTGGCACATTGGGGACAACAGAGAATACGAGATCCTCACACTCACGGACTAAACAAATGGGCATTAGGGATGAAGCACTTCTTTTGAGGATAAATAACACGTGAAAGAGAAAAACAGCCACCTTCAAAGGCAAATTATTCGGTCTTATTTTAAAAAATAGAATGCTCTGCTACTTACTAGCAGCATCAACTTGGATCTGTCCAACCTCTCGGGGCCTCAGTTCCTCATCCGTAAAATGGGGATAATAAAAGCATCTACCTCCCAAGATGGTGGAGGTGATTCAAGGAGGGAGTGCTATTGTTACTGTTGCTATCAGGCCTAACCGCTTGGCAGAGCGCTTGGCACCGCGCTCAACTCAAGACCAGGCCAGCGCTCGCTGCGCCCCAGGACAAAGGCGCAGCACAGTCGGGCCCTGACAGCGTGACTCGGCCCGCGTACCTAGGTAGCTGTGGATGCGGCGGCCCATGCCGGGCGGCAGTGTCGGGTAGGGTTCCGGCTCGCCGTCGAAGTTGAGCCACACAGGCAGCACGACGCGCGGGCTGCGGTTGCAGAAGATGACCTGGGACGGCTCGCAGGAGTTCACCGACCGCAGGACTGGCAACAGCCGCCCCGCCTCCATGTCCGCCTCGGCACCCGACTCCTCCGCGTCGGATTCTTCCGGGTCGGACTCCTCGGCGCCTGAATCTTCCCGGCCGTACTCTTCAGGGCCGTACTCTTCGGCGCACGACTCCTCCACGCCCGCTTCCGCCTCTCCCATGCTCCCCGCCTTCCCCGGCATTACCTCAGAGAGCCCAAATCACCAAGGCCTGGTCGCCTCGGGATTCGCAGGCCTGGCACGGGGCGGGGCGTACGTGCATGTTCTGGGGCATGCGTGCGTACGTGTGTTCGCGCACTCTCGGGAGGCGAAGGGGAAACGCAAAATCAAGGAAAAGAAGGCCAGGTCGAGAGTCTGCGCATGCGCAGGTGGATTCTCTAGTCTCAAGGCTTGAGTCCCGAGTTGGGTGTAGGTTGAGATCTAGTAGCGTAGTCCCTAAGGCACTTGAATGCCAAGTAGAAGGCCTAGCTGTTCAAACCCACCAGCCACTCCTCGGAAAGAAGGTTGGGCAATCTACTTCCGTAGTGATACTGCCTGGGAAACCCAAGGAAGGGTCCCTATGAGTCGGGTCTGACTCCATGGCGCATAACAGCAACCCGGTAACGACTAAAGTTTTGGGCACAGGTTTCCTTAGCTTCATTTATTTTCAAAAGACCTTCACGGGTTTGCCGTATTATCTCTGCCTTCTGCGCTATTATGTATATAATAATTTTCTTATTGATCAAGTTTTCTCCATTTTGAGTCACAAAATACAAAACGTACAGAAGAATATAATAAAAATTTCCCTCCCACCCGAGTTCCTCAGCCACCTAATAAGAAATTTTAAAGTGATAAATTTTACTTGTTTTTTGTGTTTCCTTTCCGGCCGCTAACCAAAATGTTGCTTGCAACTCACCAGCTGCTGTGCGGGAGAAAAATGAGGCTGTCTGCTTTATTACAGCTTTGGAAACTCTGTGGGACAGTTCTACTCTGTCCTGTAGGGTCTCTATTAGTTGTAATCCATTGATGGTATAGTGAGTTTGTTTTTTGGTTTACCATAAATGGAAGGACCAGTCCCTGGAGAAGGCTATCCAGCTTGGTAAAGTGGAGGATGAGTGAAAAAGAGCAAGACAGACCTTCAACAAGATGGATTGGCACAGTGGCTGCAACAGTGGGCTCAAGCATAGCAACAATTGTGAGGATGGCACTGAACCCGGTGTTGTACCCAGGCTGTAAAGGAGAATTTCGGAAGAGAAGAATATGCCAACCCACGACAATGCAAATGCAATAGGACAGTTTATTAGCTAACTTAAGTTAGGGTCTTTGCCCTTACCAGGTCAGTGGCTTAAGCAAAAGACCCCGTACCCCGTTTCTTTCACCAATTTACGGAACAATATGGGGAGGGGCAGCACCAGGGCGAGGGGGTACAGGTGATTGGTTGTTGCTAAGGGATTTAGGGCAGAGATCTAAGATGTTGGGGGACGTAAAGAAACTCCCCCCGGCTCCAAAGTTCACTAAGGAAAATATTATCTAGGGAGGATGCGGCTCAGATATGTGGGAGACTTTCAGGAGTCGAGCAAATCTCTGATACGTGCTGAATCCAGATGGCTTTTGTGATGTGTGCTGAGTTCGGGGGAAGTTCCTTGATACCTGCTGAGACTGGAGGGCAGATAAAGGCCCTAAGGAGTGTTTACAATTACAAAAGTTCTGTTAGCACTACTGACACTAAAAGGTTTCTGGTTAACGATTTTCCTGGAGGCTGCTAGAACTCTGGCTTCAGATTGACTCACACCGGCAGTGTTCCTTCTGTTGTATCTGGGTCACTACTGACTGGAAGGGAGCTCTGGTAGCATAGTGCCTAAGGCATTTGACTGCTAACCAGAAGGCTGGTGGTTCAAACCCCCCAACCACTCCCTGTAAGGAAGGTTGGACAATCTACTATCCGTAGTGATACCGCCTCGAAAACCCAAGGAGGGGTCGTTATGAGTTGGATCTGACTCTACAGCAGTATGTTTGGTTTTGGTTTTGGTACTGACTGGAAGGCATCTAACAGCAATAAATGGAAATTTAGTATCATGTGCCATAGACGATTGCATTGAACTAAGTTCACATGAATCACAAAACAAGAGTTATTACATTTTATTTCCTAAACCAAACCAAACTCAATGCCATCCAGTCGATTCTGACTCACAGCCACCCCTATTAGGTTTCCGAGGCTGCAAATCTTCACAGAAGCAGACCACTTCATCTTTCTTTCCTGGAGCTGATGGGTTCAAATTGCCAACTTTCCAGTTAGGAGCCAAATGCCTTAACCACTACACCACCAAAGTTCCTAAAGATTGTTTCCATCTCTTTGCTATTGTGAATTGTGCTGCAATGAACATGGGTGTGCATATTTATCTCTTGGCTCTCGCTTCTTTAGGATATTTTATCTGCTCACCATTAAAGGCTCTGACAGCCTGCTCTCTCTTAGTTAAAGTGTTAGATGTTAAAGAATTTCTGATACTAAACTGAGACTTTCTCTTGGACATAATCAAAAGGATTAAAGGAAACTGAAAAGGCAATAACTTTTCACACTGCAATCTGTTGTTAGCTGCCATAAAATCCATTCTGACCTATAGAGACCCTATGTATAACAGAACAAAATATTGTACCATCTTCATTGTCATGCCTGACCCCTGTTGTAGCCATTGTGTCAATCCATCACATTGAGGGTCTTCCTCTTTTTTGCTCACCCTCTACTTTTAACAAGCATAAGGTTTCCAGAGACTGGTCCCACCTGATAACATGATCAAAGTAGTGAGATGAAGTCTCACCATCATCACTTCTAAGGAGCATTCTGGCTTGTATTTCTTCCAAGACACATTTGTTCATTCTCCTGGCAGTCCATGTTGTTGTTGTTGTTGTTGTTAAGTGTCGTCGAGTTGTTTCCGACTCATAGCAACCCCATGCACAGCAGAACAAAACACTGCTCGATCC